CAAGGGCAATTCAGAGGTTTAGGTTGTATCATGGGTTCATATGGTAGGTTCCACAAAAAAGATGTACTAAGGTTAGTAGCTGCTACTCCCTCCGTTCCTAAATATAAGTCTTTGTAGAGATTCCACTAGGTGGACTACATACGGAGCAAAATGAATGAATCTAAACTTAAAATGCATCTATATACATCCGTATGCGGTTTATAGTGAAATCTCTACAAAGACTTCCATTTAGGAACGGAGGGAGTACAACTGAAGCTATATTCATGCAACTGCAGGGTTTCTATCGTTTGTCTTGGAATGAAATAATAATGCCAAGGTCCTTCAAATGTTTCTATTGTTTGTCTTGCTGACACTGCCTTTTGTAGAAACTTGTTTGCTTGTAGCTATAATTGATTCCTCTTGTTTTCCTGATCATGGAACTAGAATGCTGACAAGACCATGGTTGGCATTAGCTATTGTGGAAGCTTTTGTGCATGTAGCTATAAAAAATATCATTATTGGTTAGCTATTGTGGAAGCTTTTGTGCATGTACCATGTAGCTTCAACTGCTTCATTACCTTATCTCAGTCCTTATCTTGAAATTAAGAAAAATCCTGAGGTTTTGAAAAGAAAGGTTCCCATATTGAGGACCCAATGCGGTAGCAGGGACTGATTCTTGGTGTTTGTTCATGAACTAGCAAGAAGCCAAATTTTGAGAAAGGCTACCATGGCTCACTAATGAGGCCGATCACCTATTACATGTTTAAGTTAATCATTTGTGTTATTACAAACATCTCCCGAAATGGTCCATTTCATAATAAATAAACATATTCGTTGCTAACCTATTTAGCTGGACTTCGGAGAAACATGAAGACAGCACATTTACATGCACAAACCATTGGAGAACTCCAGCTGGTACTGTGATCCAGCTATTCATTATGTTTCCAGATGGTTTGTGTGCAGACATAATTTCAGGCTATCTTCAGTTGCTGCTCACTGTAGATTCGACAGTGAAATATTTAGTTGAGAAATGAGATAAAAAGTTAGCCATTTAAGCTATGTTTCACAAACAGTCGGCATTAGAAAAGTGAATCAAATTGCCTTCATGGACATAGAACAGTGTATAGCAGACAGGGCAGTGAAAGCTGTATGTCGCCAAGATATAAATCTCACAGCTAAAACATCGCTTCCCCCCAGAATTTCCACACCCCTTGTGCGAACAAACCATGCTCTGTTGACTGTTGTTCACTATGATGGAGATTTTTTATGTTACCATTTTGATTACAGGAAGCTTGCACTCTCTCAATTATCATTGGTCGTTGCGCCAAGGGCAATTCAGAGTTTTAGGTTGTATCATGGGCTCGTATGGCAGGTCCTACAAAAAAGACGTACTAAGGTTAGCAGCTGCTACAACTGAAGCTATTATTCATGCAACTGCACGGTTTCTATTGCTTGTCTTGTAATGAAATAATAATGCCAAAGTCCTTCAAATTATCTGGGCTGACAGTGTCTATTGTAGAAACTTGTTTGCTTGTAGCTATAATTGATTCCTGATGTTTGTCTGATCATGGAACTACAATGCTGACAAGACCATGGTTGGCATTAGCCATTGTGGAAGCTATTGTACATGTAACTATACACAATATCATGATTGATTAGCTATTGTGGAAGCTTTTGTGCATGTAGCTACAACTGCATCCTTAACTTATCTCAGTCTCTTATCTCGAAATTAAGAGAAGTCCTGACGTTTAAAAAAGGTTCCCATATTGAGGAACTAATACAGTAGCAGGGACTGATTCTTGGTGTTTGTTCGTGAACTAGCAAGAAGCCAAATTTTGAGAAAGGCTACCATGGCTGGCATCCAGCCATCACGGTACCTGTTGCACATGCACTGCCTTGCCATGAATAGCAGAAGCGTGTAAGAGATGGGCTGGTTAGTTGCATCCCTGCAGGACTGTAAAGTTCAGCAGGGCAAACAGACAAGATCTTGAAGATAATCTGGGACTACCTTTACTTTGAGGAACTATTTTGGGATTTGGTTTTATCCGGAGAGTTTGAGGCACTGTGAGAAACTTCATTTTAGCGTTTCTGTAGGTTACCCGGTACTTATAGTAATACTGCATACAAATTACTTTATAATGTACATTCCATTTAACAATTTAACATTGTGACAGCAATGCCATATACAATTATCATGTTATGCATTCTATCACGTGCACGCCATTACTCCATTAGAGGCAACCCTAAATGGGTAACTAAAAAGTGGATTGGGCCGGCCATACTCAGGCGGAACAGCGAGGCATCACCATTGGCCACGGGCAGGGAGAGAAGGCGGGTCAACAGCGGACTTTCAGGGGGCATTGATTCCCTGCGGTTAGGAGGCAGGGAGGACGGAGAAGGGCTGGGGCACGCCGAGCAGCCCCCATGGAGAAATGGAGGCCTATCACTGTTTTGTTTTGACATTATATACTGTAATAAACTTGAAGCTCTGCCCATCATACTATGCAGACTGCAGTGTGTTCTCTTGCACTGTCTAAAGTACAAAATAAAAAAGGGCAACTAGAGGTTTTACTTCTCTTCAACAAGGAGGCCGGCCTGTGGTTGGGCCTCGGCGCGTTTCCTCATTCATTCTTTGACCGCTAGAGGTAATTACTTCACACGCACGCTAAAAGAAAGTACAGCAGTTCCTTCACACCTAACCTTTGGTTACAGGAAGCTTGCGCTCTCTCAATTATCATTGGTCGTTGCGCCAAGGGCACTTGATAGTTTTAGGTTGCATCATGGTCTCATATGGCAGGTCTCACAAAAAAGACGTACTAAGGTTAGTAGCTGCTACAACTGAAGTTATTATTCATGCAACTGCATGGTTTCTATTGTTTGCCTTGTAATGAAACAATAATGCCAAGGTCATTCAAATTATCTGGGCTAATAGTGTCTGTTGTAGAAACTTGTTTGCTTGTAGCTATAATTGTTTCCTATTGTTTGTCTGATCACAGAACTACAATGTAAACAAGACCATGGTTGGCATTAGCTATTGTGGAAGCTTTTGTTCATGTAGCAATAAAAATTATCATAATTGATTAGCTATTGTGGAACCTTTTGTGCATATAGCTTCAACTGCTTCCTTGCCTTATCTCAGTCCCTTATCTTGAAATTAAGAAAAAGCCTGAGGTTTTGAAAAAAGGTTCCCATATTGAGGACCTAATACACTAGCAGGAACTGATTCTTGGTGTTTGTTCATGAACTAGCAAGAAGCCAAATTTTGAGATAGGCTAACGTGGCTGGCATCCAGCCATCACGGTACCTGTTGCATATGTACCTCCTTGCCATGAATAGCAGAAGCGTGTAAGAGATGGGCAGGTTAGTTGCATCCCTGCAAGACTGTGAAGTTCAGCAGGGCAAACAGACAAAATCTTGAAGATAACCTGGGACTACCTTTACTTTGAGGAACTATTTCAGGATTTGGTATTATCCGGAGAGTTTGAGGCGCTGTTAAAAACTTCATTTTAGCGGTCCATTATGTTACCCGGTACTTATTGTAATACTGCATACAAATTACTTTACAATGTACATTCCGCTTAACAATTTAATGTTGGGACAGCAATTCCATATAGAATTATCATGTTATGCATTCTATCACACGCAAGCCATTTACTCCATTAGACGAAACCGTAAATGGGTAATTGAAAAGTGGATTGGGCAGGCCATACTCAGGCGGAACAGCGAGGCATCACCATCGGCCACGGGCAGGGGGAAAAGGGGATCAATAGCGGAGTTTGAGAAGGGCGTCGATTAGGAGGCGGAGAGGAAGGAGGAGGGCCAAGCAGGCCCTGAGGAGAAATGAAGGCCTATTACATCTTTCATTGTTGGTTGCTAAGTGCTACACCCATCCGTTCCATGATTACTGTTAAACAAAAATCAGGACAGCAATTATGGAACGGAGGGAGTAGTATTTTGTTTTCACATGATATTGTAACAAACTTGAAGCTTTGTGCATCATAGAATGCAGGTCGCAGATTGTTCTCTTCCACTGTCTAAAGTACATACAAAAAAAAAAAGAGGGCAGCTAGAGGTTGTACTTCTCTCCAACAAGGCCGGCCTGTGGTTGGGCCTCGGCCCTTTCCTCGTTCATTCTATGGCCGCTAAAGGTAATTCCTTCACGCACGCTACAAAAATGTACTGATGTTAAGATGGCGCCTAGCGCATCCTGTCAAAAAGGAAGGGGAAAAAAATGGCGCCAAGCTCGCTCCTTAGTTTTCTCCCCTGTCAATCTAATCCCCCGTGATCTCAACCGACCGCTTTCCACGTCAGCCGCGCAAAGCTTCTTTCGCGCCATCTATCCCGTACATGTAGCACGGCTCGTGCCTATATATACGTCCCTCTCCATTTCTCCGTGACCCGTGCAAGCCGGAGCGTCGTAGACTGCAGTCCACCGAGAATCTATCAATGGCGCGAAGCATGGACATGGTGCCGCTGCTGCTTCTGTGCATGGCCGCGGCCATGGACGGCGCGGCGGCGCTGCACCTGTGCGTGGACCGGCTGTACGACAGCACGCAGGGCAAGCACGACGACGGCCTGCCCCACCTGAACCCGACGGAGGAGGCGACCTGGATGACGCTCCTGCCGCGCAAGCTCGGCGCCAAGGCCGAGTTCGACTGGCTCGCGCTCTACCGGAGCCTCACGCGCCACGCCGGCGGCGGTGGCCATGCCCCCGCGGAGTTCCTCTCCCAGGCGTCCCTGCACGACGTCCGCCTCGGCCCCGGCTCCATGTACTGGCAGGGCCAGCAGACCAACCTCGAGTACCTCCTCTACCTCGACCCCGACCGCCTCACCTGGAGCTTCCGCCAGCAGGCCGGCCTGCCCACCGTCGGGGAGCCCTACGGCGGGTGGGAGGCGCCCGACGGCCAGCTCCGCGGCCATTTCGTAGGTCAGTTGCTCGTCTCACCTCTCTCCATTCCGGCTACAGTACATTTCTTGCATTTCATCTGATCAAGGAAGCCGTGCGTGCACGTGTTCGTCCGCAGGGCACTACCTGAGCGCGAGCGCGAGCGCGCACATGTGGGCGAGCACGCACAACGACACCCTCAGGGAGAAGATGGCCAGGGTGGTGGACATCCTCGACGACTGCCAGAGGAAGATGGGCACGGGCTACCTCTCGGCTTACCCCGACGAGGCGTTCGACATGTACGAGGAGCTCTCCGAGGCCTGGTCGCCCTACTACACCATCCACAAGGTCGATCCGCGCATCAAAACAAAAAACACCATCCAACTTTTAGTTCCAGTTACCGAGAAAAACTCACATCATTCATGTCATCTCACTTTACTTACTGTTTTCTGACAGATCATGCAAGGCCTTCTGGACCAGTACACGCTGGCCGGGAACCGAAAGGGCCTTGGCATGGTGGTGTGGATGACGGATTACTTCAGCGAGCGTGTGAAGAACCTGATACAGACGCACTCGATCCAGAGGCACTGGGAGGCGATGAACGAGGAGACCGGCGGACTGAACGATGTCATGTATCAGCTGTACACTCTGACGGTAATATCGTACTATCTCATTGCAACTAGTAGTGTTTTGTGATCTTCGTTCCGGTTGTGAGCCTGTGGTGTATGTATCAAATCCTTGTCAGAGTTGTTTTCTATCTCTGCAGAAAGAACAGAAGCACCTGACAATGGCCCATCTTTTCGACAAACCGTGCTTCCTCGGCCCCCTCAGCCTTCATGTCAGGAGAACTTTGGGTTTCATTTTGATTTCTGGGGTTTCAGAAGTTTTAAGCAACGGTTCGGTGATGTTGACCTTTTTCTTTTCAGGATGATGATATAGCGGGGCTGCATGTTAACACTCACATTCCTGTCCTAGTCGGTGCGCAGAAGAGATATGAAGTCGTCGGTGACCATCTTTACAAGGTAAATTGAAATTTCTCTTAGAATCGTTGGCAAAGACCTCCACCTTGATGGATAACGTCATAGTCTTCATCAACTTGTAACTGTGCAACTATCATGTCACAGTACCATCCATTTTTCAAAAATTTGGTGAACTGAATACTGAACTAACCCATGGAACAGGACATTGCAACATTCTTCTTTGACGTTGTGAACTCCTCCCACACATTTGCGACAGGCGGCACATCTACCATGGAACACTGGTGAGCGATAATACTTGCATATCACCATATTTCCGCCTTAGGATCTTTTTTTCCCGCTCAAGTTCTTTGCAAATGTCAGGCATGACCCGAAGCGACTAGTAGACGAGATCAAAATCAGCTCCAACGAGGAGACTTGCACCACCTACAACCTGCTTAAGGTCAAGTGTTGCACTCAATCTACCATCACATGTGTTAACAATTCAACAGAAGACAGGTTCTGAACCTGCCTTTTGCTGTGCTATATCCATTGCAGGTGTCCCGAAACCTGTTCAGGTGGACAAAGTAAGTCAAGTACGCCGATCACTACGAGAGGCTGCTCATCAACGGGATCATGGGCAACCAGAGGGGAACGCAGCCTGGTGTCATGATCTACTTTCTCCCCATGGGTCCTGGGCGATCCAAGAGCATCAGCGGCGCGCCCCCTTCAGGC